GGGAGTGAGGATGAACGTTCATAATTCCAGACCAGATGAGTTCTGTTCCTTTGGTTGAGTATGACATAAATGATCCCATCATTTCGAGCCTGGGGTGTTGCCTTTTGTACTTCTTCAAGTGGAGGAGAAAGTTTATACACTTCGGTGTTGCTTACTTTCTTGTTGTGATTCTGGTGGTGTGAAATACATCATTCTATGGCTACAGGTTGGGATTCAATCCAAAGTAAATATATATAACATTGCGGTCCAATAGCCATAGCCACCAAGATGGGATATAGGTACCACAACCCCTTAATTCCAACCCCGAGTTGTGGAACCTTAGCTATCTGGTTAGGGCTCACCTATACTGATGATTTCTTATATTCTATTTCACCTTTGATATAGGAACTGAGTTCCAGGTGAAGAGCATATCTGTTCTGGATGTAGTACAGTTCCCCCACTCTTCTACCATTTTTCTCTTGGTACACTCTTGTTCTATACAGACGCTTTCTGTATGGTTCATACCTGCACCGGCCCCTCCACCTTCTTAATATTGGATTCTAGCTATAGTGTCAACAGAGGTAAGTATGTTTTGGAAATTAACATTTTCCTAAACTGAAAATGTATTTCCAATAATACTTACCTCTGCTGACACTCTCCCACCCTATCTCCCCACTGAAAGCTGGTTTATGTCTCGAAAAAGTGATTATATTATCTGAATGAGGTACTTATATACAGTACCTAGATAGTAATTGCATTAAGGTTGGTGGAGAATTTTCAAATTAGAATTTGCCAAGGGCAATCGAGTGGGATATAAAAAAACTGGAGCAAGTGTTTTCAGTGCTTAGATGGGCAAAGAGTCGAAACCCTGGAGATTGAGAAATAGCTATAATGTCAGCGGAGGTAAGTATTATTGGAAATAATTTTCAGTTTAGGAAAATGTTAACTTTATTTAGATAGTCTGTAATTAGTGTGCACAAGTTGGATACCTGTCATATGACAAGAAATAATGAGTAATTTTGCTTCTCAAAATTATATTTAAATAAATGTTTTATAAACATGTTTTCTAAAAATTAATTATAATCTAGTAACAATATATGTCTGAAAATGACTATCCTATTTCTAGTATTTCACTAAAACAACATTTTTTTTATGTATATTTGGTCATCTCCTGTAGGTATTGCTTGATTAGCATTTTGACTTCTGTATATTGTTATGTTCAAATGTTCTTCTTGATAACTCCATATAGATTGAAACATGCAAAAAACTCATTCTAAAAGACATATTCCCACATGGTCAAATATATGACCCTGCAAATTATTAATTGTGATGGTAAAGACAGTGAATTTTATTATAAATTTTGGGGTCTTCTCTTTGAACTGTCTTTCTGGTTTTGGCTTTGCTAGCCTTCTGAGCTGAAGAAGTGTGCTTTATTTTGGGCATTTTTAAAATTGAAATGTGCTGTGGGTAAAACATGCAGGTTATTATAGGGTTGTAGCCGAGGGTTCCAATTGGTGCATTCCCTTGACAACGAAGCAAACGTAATGGGGAATTTCAGCCAGAGATTATGATTTGTGTATGCCAGCCGTACCAAGCATGGGGTGTGCATATACAAGATTCGATTTTATTACTCATCATGATCTCTACCAGTCTACCCTCAAATCTAATTATATTAGTGCATTGTCTGTTTTAATATATATATATATATATATATATATA